AGTTTTTAGAGCCAGTCGCTATAGTTGCTCTCCGCTGACTGCACATCCTCAGGGCATGATGGGAAACACCTGATCTAACAGCTGATTGGTTTAGATATCGACTCAACAATATGACACTTGATAGAAACTGTTCATTTCTGATGAAGTGGAGAGAATTTATTTTCTAATTTTATACTGAATACAGGTTGTGTAGTTGATGATGATATGTGACTGTTTATTTTCAGTTTCTTTATGCATAGATTGACAGGATAGCTTGGCTATGGTGTCAGGAGCCGTATATATTTAAATTCTCATGTATTTTGTCTACTGCAGCTGTACAAAGAAACATGATTATCTTAAGTTCTGAGCAACATTAGTTTGAGCAAGTAGCTGCAAACCCATGACAACATTTTAACTGAAATGTAAAGCATCAACTCAACATGGAAGCTGTCATTTATTTCACAGATCAAACCAAACAGCACACAAATACGACTGCATCGCTCCTGTTGGAACTTCTCTCCAATTTGTGACACATTTATTTGTGAACTGTGACACCGGCACCATTAGCAAACTCCCGATAAGAAATTCTAGCATATTGAATTGGTGACACAGCCTCCTGGTTCATGATTTTTTTTTCTTTTTTTTTTTTCCTAGTCGCACCATTTTAAAACATTTTAAGCATCATTTTGATCATGCATTACACAGCCACACTGCTCTCCACTACTATGCTGCAGCCACTCAGCCGTTCTAATCAGACATGGAAGTGTGCAGCAGAAAAAAGTGGCAGCTTTTGAAGGGAAGTGGCTGCTACTGCTACAAACCAGTCTGCTCTGTCTTTTTCATATGAATGATTTCTTTATTGTTTTTTTTAAAGAATGAAATTACACCTTGCATCAACTAGAGACTGAAAAAAACCTAAATTATAAAGAAATTGTTGATTTGAATAGTAGTTTTCTACATTTACATAATCTCTGACATAATCATATCATGCCGCTCCATCAGGAAAATGATTCAAATCCAAGCTTAAAGTC